TGTGCGCACACGTGCACATGAAAAAAAATTTTAACTATCCCCCACAGCACGTTTTTAGGCTATCTGCCTAATTACCTCACTTTGCAATGCATTAAATGTAATTTCTTGAAATAGGAATGTTTATACAGTGACAAAAGAGAAATTCTGGTGGACATTCACAATTTGTAAAAGCAGATTAGCACACAATACATTTTAAGTAAATGACACTAAAAGCAATGCTGCAGAAATCCTTTTTCTCCATTTCTAATAAATGATTGCAATGCACAGTTCAGTAGTAATAATACCTAACATTCAACCATATTACTAATTCTCATAAATGTCTAATCTCACTACCTAACTTCGGTGAAATAAATATATCACCTGCTTTCCAAAAAGAAAAAAAAAAAGTACTTCTTATAACTATTTCAAAGACTATTACTTTCTTCTGTCCAAAATAAGTCAGATCATTTCAGAACAGTATCTAGTCTATCTCTGAATCAAACTTTGAGAGTTGAATTAACTGCTCATTAAAAAAATCTAGATAATCTTATAAGTATTTCAATGAATTTCATCTCAAATTTATATAATTTAATACATACAGAATATGCTTATCTTTTGGAAATAGTTATAATATATAGAATACAGTACAAACTAGTGACAGAGTATTTCCTTATTAATTTTAAAAGCAGAAGAGATCTTTGAAAATGTTTGATGAATAAATTAACCAGGCTAAATTATCCAGTGAACAAAAAAGATGAATCAATTTTTCCATACCTAATTAATATAATTCACTACTATAACCTAATGTTATTTAATGAAATGCCTTAAGAGATTTTTTCCCAAATACCTAATACAGCCATGAAAAAAATGACCATAATATTCCAAAGAAAGTGCTAAACTACATAAGCACCTGGCATAAACTCAAAAGACACTCATTGCCCTAATGGTACCCCCTGTCTTTATTCTCACAAAGAAACAGCCCTAACCTAACTTCCTCTCAGTGAGCACTTCAAGCAATAACACAGCAACATATTTTGTAGCATATCAGTCTTAGGTACATTATTTTCCCTTTAAAATTATGAACTCATCACACGTACAAATGGCTCCTTAAAACAGTCCAGTAAACTGCTACACTATGCCTTAAATTGCTGTCTATTATGTACTTAAAAATATTTACTAGCAATTGGAGGTTAATATGGCAACTATTACCGGGTGGCAATTATTGCTATTATAAATATATAAATACTTTAACACCATGTGCTACTAACAACAAGATGCTAAACAGAAAACATACACTAGCAAATTATAAATATTTTCATTAAAGAAAATGAACCATCATGAAAAAAAGATGCTTTATATGTAAATATTAAAATTGGAAATTGGGATGAGAAAATACCCTGGATACGTACAGGCACTTGAGAAGATTAATCACTCCTCCGTGATCATTTTCAACTGAAAGTCCTCCCCATCTAGTTCTAACTCAAAAGAATAGATTTCAAAGTTTCTACATTTACAACTATCTTCCTTCTCTGCAAAAAAAATAAATCTCTAAAGAAAAAAGAAAGCAGGTCAACAACAGATTAGCTCAAAATCTTCAAATATAGAATGAACGGTCCTTAATAGGAATTATGTTCTAATGCATGTTTCAATTCAGGAAGGAAGAATTTTATATCACTCAATTATCCCATAGTCAGGAAGATTCTAAGCAAATAAAATAACATGAATGTGGAGCATACATGTCTAAGAATTAGACTGCCTCATGTCAAGTGTATACACTAAAATCTAGCTGAAGGACACAAAATCGCTTTTCTCCGTATCATCTCAATTGAGAAACAAAAGAAACAAAACTAAAGATACACTTACATCTGGAAATTATATGTCTTCCCACAAGGGTGAGTTGACATACCATAGGGAACACTGTTACACTTTCCAAAAGGGCAGATTTAACACAGTTAACTGTATTATCACTGAGTGAATATATAACAAGAGCCTCCTAGAAATGTGATGGACAGCATGAGAAAACAGTTTTGAGTCACAAAGGCACAGCCAGGCATGCATTTAATGCAGTAGCTACAAATCTCATAACAGTAAGAATCAGAGACACATATAATGACCCATATCATATATACACAATGGCATTTTTCACATGTTAGGAAAAGGGGGCGGGACTTGACAGAGAATTTAGGAAATGTGACGCCACACAGAAAATCAGGAAGCAAAATAAGAAAAGGACTAACAAAAATCTTAAAGCACCTGGCTGCACATATCAACTTTTACTAAGCCATATGAACACCTCAAGGTAACAGAAAGTGGGTGGGTTATTAGTGTGGTACAGAATTTTATAATCTCCAGTTTACATTTCAATCCACATTAATATGACTACTTACGCAGATTCTCTATAAGCAATACTTTGCTCAAAAAAACTGCAGGCCAGAAAGAAAAATATATGCTATTATTTAGCACAAAGAGTTCTTATAATACGTGCTTTATTTTGAACAAGTGATGATTTTATCTCCTTTGGAATTAACTACTCTATACAATGTATGTTAGGCAACATATTTTTGATATTTTAGGTTGCCGCTATGCCTAATTTTCAGAAAATTCTCAATTTGGAATGATAAAAATTTACAGTATCAGCAGCTTTTTAACTGATTCATAATTTCTTAAAATTAGCACCTATCCACTCTCTACATAAGAGAATGCAGACATTCTATAGTTCTTACAAAAAACAAATCCATGCATTTCTGCACTTCTGCATTTCTAAGTTACTACCTAAAGAGTAATTGGGGTTTTCTGTTTTTTTTTTTAAAAGCATATTCAAAAATTAATTCCTGGTTTACAGAAGTTTAGGAGAGAAATACCCAAAGCACAAACCTTTAGTTAGTCATAAAACACAGAATCCTCTCCTACAAATTGTTTCTCCAAAAGAATCTCAAGCATCTTATCTCTATAACACTATCATCCTTACTTAAGCTTAAAAAAAAAAAGATAAAAGAAATGATTTATCTTAAAGACTGACTACACATATAGCACACTTTCGTTCATCTACAAAACATACTGTATGTAAATTAGCCACATATATACAAGCAATTACCAGTCAGCATGATATACGGTAATTTGGGGGGATCTCTCCTCACCAATATTGGTCTACTTGGTTATTTTAATTCCCCGTTAAAGTGTCAACGTGGTCACCAGCTGCTAAACAAAAACCATTTTAAAAATCCCTTAATCAATATGTTTGCTAATCTATGAAAGTCCCAGAATCTGACTGATAGTAAATGATAGACTGAGAGAAGAAAAAAGGAGGCAAAATGAGTTTTATTCCCATAAATCAAAAGATCAAGAGAAAATTATCACAGCACTGAGAGGAAAATCACAACTTATAACTGAATTTTAAGGTTAAATATCTGAATAAAAGTGTTGGGGGAAAAAACTGACCTGACCTTATTACAGTGTAAGCACAGATACTGTCACTCGGTCTTTGTAGGTAAAAATCTCACGTTTTGATTTTTTTATCTGCATAATGAAATATATTTAAGAAAATAACGCTTCTATTTGAAAAGTTGGCAAGAATCTGTCTCTCTCCACCAGTCTCAAAGGAAAAAAAAAAGAATCTATGCTACCCATAATTAAATGTAACTAATTACAATTTGAACACTAAATTATTTATCCAGTGTAAACAAGGATTAAGAGTAAATAATGCTCCTATCTACAGCAGAGGTTACAGAAAACAATTTCCAAAATGCATGTTCCCCAAAGGCAGTCCCCCCAAAAAGGGTACACAACTTAAAATAAGTTTTTTTAAGGCTAAATTAAACAAACCGTTCAGCCAATTTTCCAATTATATTCTACGCTTGAAACATAATTGCCTTACATCTGTTTACAAATCTTTGCTCAATATTTAAACAAATTCGTAGTCTCCCGGGCACATAGCTATACATACAGTAAGTCAAGCACAAAGCACATATTTAAAGACCACGCACTGCAATTATTAGCCTAAACGCAAGGTTTAACAACGTGAATGTTTTCAGAGCTAGGTAATACGACCCAATAAAAAGCAAAGATGGCATTTACCACCAAATGTCACTGCCACCGCCAGGAAAGAGTTGCAGGAGCCCTACACATTTTTAATTTCGATGAATCTAGACGCCGTCGTCGGGTGCCAGGCTTCCAGGAGAACAATTGACACCCTAACTGCTTCGAGATTAAGGCAGGCGATTCAAATCCGAAGGAAAAGTTGTCAATTATCAGAGAGAGAGCGCGAGAGAGGCGAAGGCAGATAAAAGCGATGTTATCAAACCGCCCAGCTTGTTGCTTTTTTGTGTGTGTGTGGATTCGTTGTTAGGAAAGAGAAAACAGTTTTTAAAAGACCCAGGAGGAGAGAAAGAAGAAAAAGCTTTCTCCACCTTCCGTCGGCTCGATGCAATGGCTTAGCGGCTCTCCGGCGTAGTAAGCCCCGAGAGGCAGGAGGCTGTCGATGTTTACAATCGCGGGAGCTTCGGGTGCAAGAGTCCTTTACTGACACAATCGCATTCAATCAACTGTTTTCGGGCGAAATTGCAGGTGTCATTATGGAATTTTTTAAAAATTCAAAAGGCGGGCGGGCAGCCGATCCGACAAGGGGGGAAAAGACTGCTTATCGCAGGCGCGGGCAGCACAAGGCAAAGCCTTCCACATTTAGGGGAAAATAAGGGGGGGAAGGGGAGGGGAAGGGGAGTGCGATTGCAACAGAGGGTGGGCGTTCGAAGTGCGACCCAGAATCCGCAGCTCTGAGACTTCCACATGCAAATTCCACGCCGAGCGCCGCGCTCACAAATGATTTTTAAAGAGCCAAATAAACACTGGATGGGATCCAAGGCGAGGAAGAGACGATCCAAAAGGGGGAGAATCGGCGAGAGGCGAACGGCGGGGAGAGGCGAGGGAGGGGCGAAGTCCCGGCGGCGGGAGGAGAAAGTTGGTCCGCGGCGGAGGTCGGGGACCCCCCCCCCGGCACAGCCCCCTCCCGCAACCCGACTACTCACCAGCGAGAAGAGGTTGGAGTGACAATCCTCCAGGCTCGCCCCGTTCGCCACCCAGTTCGCTGCCGCAGTCATGATCCTCCGC